CCTAAGCCTGCCGAAGCCAGTCGGAAAACCTAAGCCTAGGCCTAAGCCAAGCCAATTCCTAAGCCAAAGCCTAAGCTTAAGCCTAGGCCTGGCCGAAAGCTTAAGCCCTAAGCTTCCAAGCATGAGCCTAAGCCGAAGCCGAAGCTAATCGTATGCTCAGCTTTTTATACTATTCTCAGAATGATATCTTAATTCCTCCTACCCATCACCCTCCCAAAATTCCCTCCTACCACCCAGCCTCACCTGCCATGTGCGCTAATTGTCTACCACCCACCAGCGAAAGATTCTTAAGGAGGATCATCGATGAGGTGCAAGTGCCCTCCCCAATTGACTTGACCACTTCAACCCCACCATTTAGCGGATTTGTGGCCATTTGGGCCCCCTCCACAGGCCAAGGGCCCAAGCTGTTGTCTGTTTTTGGGCAAGCGGAAGCTACAAGTGCTGACAGCCGAGGATAGAGCTTCATGATTTTTAGGGCCAACCTGGATGCGCGCTTCGTTTAGCCCGGTGGCCTTGGCCAGCTCCTCGCGAACGTAAATATCCGGATAGTGGCTCCTCTGAAAAGCGGCATCCAGTTGGCCGAGTTGTTCTTGGGTGAAGGTGGTGCGATGGCGACGGCGAGAGATGCTGTAGTAGGGATCATGGTATAGATTAGGTTTTGGGTAAAGTACCTGGCTGGGGGTGCTTGGTACTGCGCCGAGGTTGGCGGAAAACACTGACTCGGCTTTGATCTTTTTGAAGGCGCTGTCGGCAAAGTCGAAGGCGAGGTCTGGAAGGATGGATTATTAGGCGCAGACTTCATTGAGTTTAGGTTTAGGGTCAGACTTAGGCATAGGCTTAGGTTTTGGGCTTAGGCTGAGGTTTAAGTTCAGTCATAGGCATAGACTTGGATAAGGCTTGAGCTTACGCTTAAGTTTAGGCTTGGGATTTGGATTTGGCTTGGGCTTAGGTATAGACTTAGGTTTGAAGCTGGGCTTCGGCTTCGGCTTAAGCTTAGGCTTAGGACTAGATTAGGACTAGGCTTAGGCTTGGGCTTACAAGCTTGTAAGCTTAAGCCTAAGCGCCTAAGCCCCCTTTAAGCCCTAAGCCTCTATTCCGGGCGAACCCTAAATTACATTAACAACCCGATTATCCCCTGCTTACACCTACCATCTTAACAGCCAAAATGCCTAGCAGATAAATGTAGGTCCAGCCCAAACCTAGAGTCACCGAGAATGAAATGAGCACGGGCGAAGAAGGGGGGAGATGGAAGGACTGCGGGACCCCGGGGCCGTGTCCCTCCCTGTACCAATCGAATTTCATAAATCAGATATGGTGTATTCGGTTGGCACGGGGGGAGTGATTGCATTTTCCTGCACACCCCCGCTGAGGACGAGAAGCCCCCCAACAAAGACATCAGGGGGGGGGGGGCTTAAGGAAAGGGAGATGCGGGTTTTTTGGGCTATCCGTTAAGGGGTGGATTAATAGGTTATTGATTTAGTGTAATCGGGTTTGGAAATTGGATTAAAGGGCCAAGTGGGACGATTTTCTATGTATTCCCAATGTTTCACAGATGCCGCGACACGCAACGCGTTGCGTTTTGAGCATGAAAGAATCTCCGCTGAATTTGAGTCAGATGTAATCACACTTTTAAACTAAACCTTAATTTTTACTAAACCAATAAACCCTAGTAATCCACTTGTGTTGATAGGTGCTAATTGTTATGTTTGCCAAACGCGAGCCCCCGCTCTCTTCTCACTTTAGGGCGTTGGGTGTATCGCATCGCGAAGAGTGTCAATGTCTATACCCCTCAACCACTTGGGCATCACGATTATGCATGCGGGAAGCCGCCTTTATTTGGACATCCCAACAATTGCTATCCCCTCGGCCACCCTTCACCCCGAAAGTTGCGTCAAATTAGGTGGAGTTGTTGCAGGAATTTTTGTGAGGAAGGGTATGCTTGGTAAGCTGGGCAGCATTTAGGCCATCGATGACTTTACCCCGGCCCGAAAGTTTAATCAAAATTTTCAATATTTTCGCTATTTTTTGGGGTTTTCTCGGCGCGATTTGATAGGGCGTCGGAAAATATACTTAGAGTTTTAATCAAATACTGTATTATAAAATAGTTATGGCAAAAAAAAACAAAAATAACCTTTGAAAATGTGCTCAAAAACCTAATTTTGTTCATATGTTTGCCATTTTTCGATATTTTTACGTTGCTATGCGATAGAACTTTTGAAAATGTATGTAAATATATGGCAGCGGAAAGTAGTGTCATATAAAATAGTTACAGCTGATCAGCTCGGCATTTTCCGGCTGGGGGAAGAAATGCAAACTCGAACCAAACGAATAACCCAAAAAAAAAAATTAAGAATAGAACCAAAGAAAGTCACGTACTGTATCGATACTCACTTTCTCCGAGCGGCCTGAAACTCGTCGCCACCGTATCCAGGGTGGTAGTGTAGGGGCAAAATCGGGTATTGGAATTCTTGTAGTGTCGCTGTCGCATCTTTTACTTTTGTATCGTCGTGCTAAAAACAGAATTCTTCAAAGCTTGAAAGCCATCTAAAATTTTCCCAAAACCCAACCACCGCCCGAAAACCAACGACGAGACTGAAGTGTCTTCCCAATCCGACCCCAGGCTCCTCCTCCCCCTCCTCATACACAAAACAAATTAATTACGCAAAGTGAATTTTTGGTTGCACGTCGGGCTTCGGAGGCCGAGGGAGGCAGAGCCAGGGCTTCCCGGGAGCCCAAGCCTAACTAGGTTTGCCTCGCTCTCCACCCCCAACACACAGCCCTTACACAGACCTGTTCCGAATATGCGCTTTGGGGGCTCCACCGTTTACGCAATTACCTAATTGCACAACCCCCGCCCGGGGCTGGGTGGGGACCCGGGATGAGATGTAATTCGATTGAAAGGAGGGCTGTCAGTAATTCGATCAGTCGGAGGAGCTGATGCTCCTTTGGGGCATCTTACCATCGCTCATCCTCACCTGGGGACTGTCGGCGGCGTTGGTGTTGTGGTCGCTCATGGTGGAGTAGATTGAACAAGGAGCTGCGTCGTACTCTGACTGTCGGCCAGAATGAGGGTCTGCTGCTCACGGGGGTGGGCGAACGATCCTTCGGGCCACCCGGCTAGGCCCTCCAAGACGCTTTCAGCGGGGGATACGGTAGAAGGGGGAGGAGGGGGCGGGACCCCAAGATGGGTGGGCTGCCCCCGACGCGATGGTGGATACCTGCCTTTGTGGCGCCTTGAGGAGGGAAGTGCCGTGCTTGATTGGGCCCTCACCAGCCTTCCGACGGCCAGGGGCCCCAGATGGGATTATGCCCGCCCCGGGAGAATTTGATTACCGCCGTGTCCGCGCTGTCGCTAACCTCTGAAGGAGAAGAGGAGGAGGAGGAGGACGAGGAGGGACGAGGGGTAGGAGAGGAGTGATGGAGAACGATCTGAAAATGATTATTGCCGGGGGAGGGAGCAAAACTTTGTAGAACGACCGGGTGTACTGTATTTTTACATTCAGGCTCTTTACAACGTGTTAGTACGTTTACAGAAGACGTCTTTTCGATTCTTATACATTGTCAAGAGCATTCTCATCCTAAAATTACCTTAAAAGCTCACAAAACAAAAATAAATCAAAATACAACGTAGCAAAACTTCTTACATTATTACAGTCAATCCACATCTCTTAAAACAGGCTTCCAACACCATTTTCGCCATAACCACCCAGTAATGTGCTGTTGGGGGAGGGATTTTGTCCCAGAGGGGAAACTATTTTTTCAGTATTCCTGTACGGTCCAATAGCATGATCTTAAAATTAAGATAGCATTTTGAACAGTTTTTAGATATCAAAGCTCAAAAGTAATTGTCTCACATTTTCGAAAGTTGGGGCCTTTTTGTAAAAATGCATGACAAGCGACCAAAAATGCCGACTAGATGGAATAGAAAAATTAGTTTCCCCGTTGCTAACAGTCCAGTACAAATCAGGAAATCCAGATCCATCAAAGTCAAAAGCAAAACAATGTAATATAACATAGACATGCCATAACAAGCTTTAAACGCGGCTGGCAAGTTTGAGTGTATAGCCTTTTTGAATAAACAATAATACGGGAAATCGACAGGTATAATTTGTAGTTTACATCTTAATTCCGCTAATAAAGTCCGCTAGCCCCAAACACATGCCCATATGTCCATAACGAATCAATTGGGCCCTTGAAACCATGGATCGACGGCCACCCACAGAATTTTTGATGACCCCCGCTTGGCGGCATCACAAAGAATAAGAAACATATAGCCAACGAACCCTATCCCCTTGAACACCCTTCTATACAATCCATGACCGCAATTCTTCACCTTTCGACCCCCATTCGCAATATAATTAAAGGGATCGGTAACGAACATACGAGGCAGTGAAATTAAGAACAAAGAAAATCTCTCGATGTCTCGGTCTCTCACTCTCGCTCTCTTTCACTCACTCCTCCTCTCTCTCCACTCGCTCACTCTCTATAAAGCTTTCCTCTCTCTCACTTTCTCTCTCTCTCTCTCTCTCTCTCTCTCTCTCTCTCTCTCTGTCTGCCCTCATTTCTCTCACTCCCTGTCTCCATTGCTCTCCCTCTCCCCTTTCTCTCATTTCTCCCACACTCTCTCTCTATTTTTCTCTCTCTCTCTCTCTCTCTCTCTCTCTCTCTCTCTCTCTCTCTCTCTCTGTCTCTTACTCTTCACTCACTCACATCTCTCGTGCTCTCACTCTCTTTTTCTCTCTCATTCTCACACTCTCTCTCTCCACTCTCTTGCTCATGTCGCACTCATTGCTCCACTCTCCCTTTCTCTCACTCAGCTCCCCCTTCTCTCGCTCTCTCTTTCTCTCACACCCTCAACCCTCACCCTCTATCTCATCCTCTCTTTCTTTCTCTCACTCTCGCTCTCTCTATCTCTCTCGCTCTCTCTTTCTCTCTCTCGCACTCTCTTTCCCTATCTCTTTCACTCTCTCACTCCCTGTCTCTCTCTCGTGCCCTCACTCTCACTCACTCTCTCGCTCCACGCCACACGAGTTTATAGATATTTTAAAGATATCATACCTCTTTCTTCGGCGATCAAAGCTGATCTCCACATGACAAAAAAAATTCCCCAACTCCTGATTTATGTCAGTCCAATTTTTTTGGTTGCTTTACTCCAAGCGTGGTGAGCACCATCTCTCGACTTTTATTCACCACCAAAAATAATGGTGATATCGATAATGGTTCGTTGACCTCTGACCTACCGCCATTTCAGATAAGATACCATCTGCAACGCAGTGGTTCGTTGTTTGGCGCCCCCTGGCTCGTATCCAATCCCCATGCGGTTGCGCTGCGGTCACACTCTTTCCCGCGGCTGCACCGAATCCAAACATTCGGTCATTCATTCAACCATTCCATCCCAATGCCATCCAATCCTCAACCCAATCCCAACCACTTTCAAACCATCACATACCCCTGATTTTTAGCATCAAATCCTCTAAATTTTAAGTGCTAAGAATAACGTGAAAATCACCGATTTTCGAATTTCACAATTCATCGCAGACCGAATTAAAACGCGAGCGCATTTTTGAAAATTGTAAATCCGTACTTAATTTTTGAAGATGGCGCGTACAATTTATTCGCAGTTTTTAAATTTCCGGCGGAGCTTTGTTGGCTCGGTTTTCGTGGTTACGTAAAAGCAGCACTTGAGCCTAAGCTTACTAGCCGACTAGCTTAACTTTACTTGAGCTTGGCTATAACGCGGTTCAAGCCCACGCCTTATGACCTCAGTTATCCTTAAATTGCCCTACCAGCCAGAAAAACAATTTTTTATAATAGTTCAGCTTGGAACTTAGTTTAACGTAACTTCTTAATTTAACTTAATTCTAAGCCGGCCTGGCTTCGGCTTAGCTTTTTGTGAAACCGCTATTCCTCTTCTTCTCATTCTAGTTTATCGGAACACCGGAATTATTTCAGAAAAATCAACAATGGCTGACCAAGAGGTTCAAGAAACCCCGCTGAGGTCCCGACCACCACCGATGTCCCCATGGAGAAGGCCGACGAGGAAATGAACTGGAGGGTAAGTCAATTCATCAAAATACATCTTGAAAATACAGAAAATCAATACCTTACTTTCAGGCTGATTCTCCCAAGGATGGCACCCAGGCTTCCAGCACCACCGAGGTAAGTTTTTAGAATAATGTCATACTCTTGCTTCCTAGGCTGCGTCGACCAACGAGACTGCTCATAATACATGAAAAAGAAA